AGCCTACCCAATTCACCTGTGCCACACGTCTTTGGACTGTGGGGGAAACCGGAGAACCCAAAGGAAACCCACGTGAACGCAGGGAGAACATTCAAACTCCACACAGTAACGGCAACTGACCCGTGACCACTTCCTAATGTGCCACTGTTTCAATGTTTTGAGGTCTGTTTTTGGACTTTATGTACTTTGTTGACAAAAGTGCAGTACACTTTAAAGACTGTATGAATGGAGTGCAGGGTTTACTCTGATTAGATGATTGTATATTCACCTGGTTTGAGTGTTTAGACACACTAATAGCTTGGTTTTAGTAAGGTTGCCAGTTATTTTATGTTGAGGCAGTGTACAATCTTTTCAAATCTGGAAACATTCAGTACTAGTTGTGTACAAACTAGCCCAATGCTGAACACGGCTAATGTCAAATGCTGATTTTGTATGCAAATGTTTTGGATTGTGATTTGAACACAGTTAAAAATAAAAAAAGTGAATTGACTATTCTTGTGTATTTAATTTGAATCCTAAAAATTAATAGTAAATGCATAATGAATCAGTTTGTTTTATTTTGTTCAGTAAACAAAAAAAATCTTGTTGGGTAAACATAATCATTTTTGTTCAGTAAACAAAAGATCTTGTTGAATAAACGTGAAAATTTTTGTTCAGCAAACAAAAGATCTTGTTGAGTAAACATGATAATATTTGTTCAGCAAACAAAAATATCCTGTTGGTTGAACATGATATTTTTTGTTCAGCAAACAAAAATATCCTGTTGGTTGAACATGATATTTTTTGTTAAGCAAACAAAAATATCCTGTTGGTTGAACATGATATTTTTTGTTCAGCAAACAAAAATGTCTTGTTGGGTTAACATGATATTTTTTGTTTAGCAAACAAAAATGTCTTGTTGAATGAACATGATATTTTTTGTTCAGCAAACAAAAATATCCTGTTGGTTGAACATGATATTTTTTGTTCAGCAAACAAAAATATCTTGTTGGGTGAACATGATACTTTTTGTTCAGAGAACTAAAGAATTCAACAAAATATTTTGAGTTCACTGGTCTTCAAACCCTGTTTGTTGAGTTAACTCAAAAAGCTATGTGTGATAGGTTGCCTAATTATTTTAAGTTTACTCAACTTTTTTTTTTTACAGTGTTTGTTTACACTGCAAGATGGATCGGCGACAGGGACTTTCACATTGCATGACTTTACTATAGGAAGAATTGCCGACAACTTCGTCCAAACTACGTCTCACAGCCAAAACACGTCGTATATCTTTTGTTATCAACTACATAATGAGAAAAAAGCCTTTAATGGGGTAGAAAATTTACATATTTGCTCACCTGGGTTTAAAGGGAATTAGCCATTTCTCCTCAACGTTGATAATAAACTAATTTCTTTCTGTATGAAACGTCAAACAGAAACGGTTGCTGCTGAGTCCTGTCAAACCTCGACTAGTTTTTCCTCCATTTCGTAGGTCCAAATAAACCTAAAAAGAGCGCTTTTAACTTCTCCCCAGCCTCCTGCTGGCCTGCTGGCCAGGATTCACACACAAGTGAATGCCGCTCTCTCATTGGCTGTTGGCGATCGCTGATAATATTTTCAGTCAAAACTCAAGTCATTCACACTTATACACTACAGCCAATTTAATTAAATTCCCCTATAGCGCATGTCTTTGGACTGTGGGGAAAACCGGAGCACCCAGAGGAAACCCACGCGAACACGGGAAGAACATGCGAACTCCATAAATAAATACCAACTGTCCAGCCGGGGCTTGAACCAGCAACCTTCTTGATGTGAGGTGACTGAGCCACCGTGTCGCCCCCTATATATATTTATATTTCTCCTTATATTTACTTATATTTTAACACTTATTTTAGCTTTGTGAGTGGTTGTAGATAATATTTATAATATACTATATTCGCGAGATGGATTTAATCATAGAAAGGTAAGCGGCCACTTAGGGCCCCAGGAAGGAGACCCACAATAAAAGTCTATAATTTACATTTAACATCATTTTCTATCTTATTTTGTAGGATACAGGTCTAACAAATACAATTTTTTTTGTATTTCAAAACTGAATTGTGCAAATGTGTCCCCCCAACCCCAATCATGAATCAGTCCAGCTGTCAAATCAGACGAACATTTTGTTAAACCAAATAGTTTGTTCATTATTTTAAGTTGTGAATTCATTTTAAGCAAACAAATCTTTTAAAATGTAGAGATTGTGTTCAGATAAAAATGTAGAAAGCAAGACTATGTGATATAAGAAAAAGACAGCTAAATAAATAAATAAATACAAATACGAAGTGTGCCTATTACTGTAGGACTTCCAAGTCCAGTGGCTCGAATTGCTTAGAGCCCCTAAATCACTAAAATCTGCTCCTGACTATATTATAATGTACTGTACTGTACTGTTTTGGCCATTTGAAACAGATAGCACGCTTCTTCATTAAACATTATGAAATCAAAAACTCACAATCGTATGTTTTTATGTTACTTTAATTACGTTAATCAGCTTTTAACTTTGTTTTTCAAGTTATATAAATTTTAACTTGTAGCTTTAAGTCAGTTTAATGGATGTAAATTGAAATTAATTTGATTCAATCAATTAGCAACACATTGTTTACAGTAAACAGAATGATTAACGATTGCAGGATGACATAAATACACATACAATTACATTTAAATATTTTAATATGAAATATGTGTGTGTGTGTGTGTGTGTTTTTTCAAAAAGAAAATGTTGGAAACTAGTACTCAAATAATAAATAAATAAAGAAAATAATAAATCTATAATAAAATATAAATATATATATATTTTATTAAATATAATACATATATAATAAAATAAAAAATAAGGAAAAACACTTTATTTTAAGGTGTTCTTGTTACACATTCCATCTACTTACTATAGTAATTACAATTAATTATGCATAATTACATGCAACTAACCCTAGACGTAACCAATCCTGAGCCAGTACAGCAAGTACATGTAATTAATTAACATTACTATTAGTTAGTAGTAAAATAAAGTCACACTATAACAGAGTTACACTAAAATAAAGTGTAAACAAATTTTGTAAGCTGTTTCTACATCTTAAATTAAAGTCAATGACATTATTAAATATAATAATATATAATAATAATAATACTTTTTTCTCTCTAAATATACCTGGCGAAATTTGATAGGACACATTTTAGTTGAATGTATTATGTAAATCATTATGTCATATATCGACCCATATTATATATGTAGACAAATAATTACAGGTTTATTGTATTTCACTTATACCTGTATATATCGGCCTATATTATTATATTATCGAATATTATTAATATCGAATATTGTTAATATAATATTATCGAACAATTTAAGACAATAATGTTTCCCTTAGAAATACTTACATAAATATAGATTACACGTGTATTACTTTTACGTTTTTGTACCGCATTTGTCGACAGAAATGGTGAGATTTGATTTTCACTTACCTGTAATGAAGAACAAAACACAAATCAAAGTCAACAGCGTCAGCATGTCTACAAACTCAAATGTTATAAACAGTACACAGTTCTGTCTGTCTGTCTGTCTGTCAGAGTTTTAGTTTTGACGATGAAGTAATTTTCCACAGGTGAACGAACACGAAGCCACTCCATCACATCTTTGAGAAACATTCCCAAACTCCTCCGAACAGGTGAGATTTACCTGAAGTAAACATCCCATTATTACATCAGACGAACGACTTACATCTATTATCTTCCTGTATACTTAAATTTATACTTTTTATGTCAAGTTTGTTGTCCTAAAAAGACGGTTGGATCTGTTTCGCAGTTTATTTAGCAGATATTAGCATAAAACGGAATGTAGAGGTGGGCGGGGCTTAGCGTTCTTCATTTAAAGAGACAGTTAACGCAGTGCTTTGTCATTATTTACTTGGTTATTTTAGCACAGCTTGTCACTTATCTCTTCAGTTGAACATAAGAAATTGATGTTCACGAAATTGTTAGTGAGTGACAGCCTCCGTATTCATGTTAATTTCTCCATAAAAAAATTAGTAAATATATCATCTTGATTATTTGGTATCTGAGGTGGCTTATATGAAAGGCAAATGCCTCTAGATTACACTTATTTCACCAAAATAAAATCTGATCATGTCTTGATTTTTAATTATTTCATTAGGACAGTAAGGTCTGACTTTGCTTAGACAAAATTCTTGTCACTGAATAATGTCCAGTACAGAATATAAAGTCATGCTGCAGTGGAAACAGAATGAATATTGTGACTCCCATCATGAGCTTGGAGGACTGCATCCATACATCTCTGCACTGACTTGAATCACTTATTAATAAAGTCATCTGGAATGGCAAAGAAAGCGTTCCTGCATGATTTCAAGAGTTCATCGAGATTCTTTAGATTCATCTTCAATGCCTCCTCCTTCATCTTACCCCAGAGATGCTCAATAATGTTCATGTCTGGTGAGTGGGCTGGCCAATCCTGAAGCAAATTGACCTTCTATGCTTTCAGGAACTTTGATGTGGAGGCTGAAGTATGAGAAGGAGCGCTATCCTGCTGGAGAATCTGCCCTCTCCTGTGGTTTGTAATGTAATGGGCAGCACAAGTGTCTAGATACCTCAGGCTATTGATGTTGCCATCCACTCTGCAGATCTCTTGCACGCCCCCATACTGAATGCAACCCCAAACCATGATTTTTCTTTTACCAAACTTGACTGATTTCTATGAGAATATTGGGTCCATGCGGGTTCCAGTAGGTTTTTAGCAGTATTTGTGATGATTGGGATGCAACCCAACAGATGATTGATCAGAAAAATCGACAAGACTTTTGTCAGGTAGTGTACATAAACCGAATGCAATTTAAAACCATATTACTTAAACATATATTGCTTAATATTTGAAACCCTTTTGTTTTTAAACCACACACATACATTACTTCATTACACAGAACACAAAATCGGTCAAAAATGAACCACACTTCATGATATGCATATGAAAAAGACGACTTTTTATTGTCATCGAACGATACTGTACAATCAGGACTCATTCAGAGGCGCTTGTGGTAACGTGATTTACTCTCTCTTCATGCTGAGAGACACTGTCCGCAAAACAACACAACAAAAATCAACATCAATAAACCATAAGGCTCAATCAAACCCCACTGATAACCGATTTTTAATGACAGGGACACAGCACAGATAAAGTCAATGCAGATTTGATTCTGAGTTAATTATTAACAGCAAATGTGATGGCTTGTTAGTGCATTCGAAAGTGTCCCCAGAAGTGTACTCTTATATTCAATGCACGGAAATATTGGTTGGAACGGACGGCTGTGGGTGGATGAGTGTCTCTCAGCATCCAGACGAATGTAAAAGAGTCATAAACACAGAAGAGCAGCATCTACATCAACTACATGGGTCTGGATTTGTTACTGGCCTCAAGAGTTTGATCAACATTGAGCTCCGTCACCAGTGATGAAAGACCTTCAGGAAAGAAAACAAGACTTTAGTCATTACATTATATGCAGCTGAAGACAAAACGGTCCAGTTGTTAAGTCGTGACGTATAGAAAACTGTTTCCTAGTCCAAGCCTCTACTCATTTGAATGGGGTATATGTTTTTCATCTTGTTTAACGCTTGAACAACTAAATGAATGCTTAAGTCTATTTAATTGACTGTATTTTAATTACATTACAACATAATTAATGTTGAATAAATGATCGAACTGTATGAAATGCTGTGTTACCGTCAGTATGAGTCTGCACTGTTGCTCCTCCACATCTTCTATACTCTTCCAGCCTCTTTGAGTTTTCCCACCAGATCCTCCACCGTCTCCACTTTGACTCCGGCTTGTCTCGTTGGAGGTTCATCCACCTTTAGCACCTCCAGCCGCGAGCTTACGTCTACACCCAGATCTGCTGGCTTCACCATCGCAATCTTCTTCTTCTTCGCTTTCTACACAGGTTTAAAAAAAAGCATATCACTACCAATCAGGCATGTGAGGATAACTGGTTTCAAGGTTTACCACTGTTTGGAAAAGTCAAGATTCTAAAACCGTAAAAATGTTCTAGTATATCACTCCTATGGTATATGTCAGGCTTTTTTTTTACAACTATTTTATTTAGTTTATTAGGACTACAGTATCTCCAGCAGAAAAGGAGCCTCCACATCAAAATCTACTGGTCAGATTCAGCAAACATCTGAAAAACAAAATCGCTTATAAACCAACATCCATGCATGTTGTAGACCCGAACAGTGCAGTAGCTTTACTTTATATCCACAGAAAAGACAGATATCCAAAGATGCCTTTTCAAGTTGTAATGAAATCTGTTTTTGAAGCTAATGAAGACAGCAGAAGTCAATGATTTATTTTAATTATTTAGCCTGACATGTTTACTGCTCCTAAATATTTTAAATGTTTCATAAAACAAATATATATATATATTTTTTTTTAAAAAACATCTGGTAGAGATCAAGATCAAGATGAAGAGATGAAAGATCAAGCCTTCTTATTTATGGCTCCTAAACTCTGGAATAGCCTTCCTAAATATGTCCGAGGGTCAGACACACTCTCCCAATTCAAAACTAGATTAAAGACCTATCTTTTTAGTAAAGAATACACTCAGTGCATCACTTAGCGGGTTTCCACACAGGTTTCTACATCTTGTTTATATACACTATGAACAGCAGCTACGCTAATTATTCTCTTTATTCTCCATTTCCACTAGGGGATACTCATCCTGAGGCCTACAGACTATGCAGAGTCACTGATTCAGTCCAAGATTAGCGACGAGATGATCCCAAGGTTTCCATATCCTGGACCAGGCCGTATCCTGAGCAGCTGCTGTGGTGGTCACGGAGGAGTGGAGAGCATGAGACTGATTCCTGTGAGGCTTCAGGGACAGACGAGTCTTCGCTGAGGCCCAGCTTCCAGCCTCCGCCGCTGAGACTGCAGCACTGCACAAGACGTTTGGCCAGTGGAAAAATTTGAAATGGTCGTGCCAAACTGAGTCTGGTTTCTCTCAAGGTTTTTTTTTCTTCACTTTCGCCAATATGTGAAGTTTTTTTTCCCTCTCCGCTGTCGCCACTGGCTTACATGGTTTGGGATCGGTAGAGCTGTGCATCGATGGATTTGGTCTTCAGTGTTTAGGCCCTCAGTAGTGATTATTAAACCACACTGAACTGAGCTGAACTAAACTTAAACACTAAATACTGAACTACACTGTTCCTATTTACTATGATCATTTATGTGGAGCTGCTTTGAAACAATCTACATTATAAAAGCGCTATACAAATAAAGGTGAATTGAATTGAATATATTGTGCTCAATGGGGAGAAAAGTTGTTGTTTATTACCCAGATATTTAAAAAGAATATATTTTAGAGCAGTAATCACAATACCGTGATATTTTTATCCAAGGATATCATACCAGAGTCGTAAGCCGGTCCATGCCTACCACTAATAGTTAAGCATGCCATTTTGCGGAGTCAATTATTATTCCTTTTCCTGCTCATCTGTATTTCTTTAACATAAAAAAACACACACACATTCAAAAAAATTAAATGGTCCACATTTGTGTGACATTTTACTGAAAAAACTAAAAAAAATTATATTTGATATGAACATGTTTTTAAGATTCTTAACAGTTTTGTGAGAACACAAACATTGCATTACAAAAGTTTAGTGTAAGGACGATTTAAACAAAAAAAAATCTACTTTTATTCCAGAAGGATGCATTCAATTTATTAAAAAAAGTCTAAATAATAACTTTTAGAATGCTACAAAAATAAAAATGGCTGTTCTTTTAAACTGAAATAAAAACAATAATACAGACAAAATGTACAGTATAATAAATGGACATTAAGAATAATTTAGGAGTGAATTCTGAAGGACCACGAGACACTGAAGACTGGAGTAATGATGCTGAAAAATCAGCTTTGACCCACAGGAAAACGTAACATTTTATAATTTATTCAAATAGAAAAGGCTTATTAAACTATAATATTTAACAACTGTTTTTACTGTATTTTATTAATAAGAAAAATGCAGACTTAGTAAGCATAAGAGACTTCTTATGAAGACAGAATATTTGTATGTATTCTAAACGTGAAAGCAATAATATATATTATATATGCACACATTATAATTTGTTTTATATAATTTCTTTGGACATGTGACCAAAAAATAAGGCATTTTCATAAAGGTATTTTTTTTAAATCACAAATGTATTGAGATTAATAAATCACCCTAATGCTTTTTTGGGTTAAAAAAATCTATATAAAAAAAAATTAAAAATAGTTTTCCAAATGAAGTTCTAACCAATGCAAATTACTAATTAAAAATTAAGTTGACATATTTACATAAGAAAATTTAAAAATATCTTCAAGGATCTTAATATTCAAATTACTTTTGGCATAAAATAAAACAATTCTATATAATTTTTTTCTAATTGTACATATTAGATTGATTTAAGCATTTTTTAAATTGAACCTTGTGTTTTGAGCAACTGAATGTAGTGTTTTGTCATTTCTGTACCATGATGTTGGGCAGTGTGGCGTATCTGGGAGTGTTGAGCCGGAGATCAGCCGTCACTACAGCGGGCATTTTGATCTTAATGGTCTCCAATCCACCATCTATTTCTCTCACCACCTTCAGCTTGTCAGCTTCAAAAGCCAACTCGGATGCAAAAGTGCCCTAGAAAACCATAGCATAATATTAATCTTTAAACAGTTCAGAAAAAGCACATAGATATATATTCCTAACAGTAATAACATCTTCTGAGAGACACTACTCATGGTAAAACACTGGATTGTTCAAATTCTAAACAAAGAAATTTTTTATTGACCCTTTCTCGAGCAAAGAACTATTTACAGTCTCATTTTTCAAATATTTCACAGAGCTATGATATTTTTCACAGTATGTTCTATTATCTTTTTCCTCTGGAGAAAGTGTTGTTTATTTTACTTTTGCTGGAATAAAACTTTTGAGTTCAATAGTATTAGCCCCTGAATATTTTTTTTTCAGTTGTCTACAGAATAAACCACCTTGCCTAACCTAGTCAAGCCTTTAAATGTCACTTTAACCCTCCTATCGTGTTCACACCCTTACTTTAGAGTTCCCAGTCAAAAATTGACCGGTCTGTTTTAACTGCTCTTATATTAGCACAAAAATTATTTTTCTCCACCAAATTTTTATTGAACATTCTTTAGCTGTGAACAATGTCTCAAAGTAGTATTTAACATGAATTTACAGAATTAGACATAAAATAACTGCAATGAAAATAAAAACAGGTGCTGAAAATATATTACAAAATGAACAATAGATGACAGAAATCAAAATACTTTGTTTCGTTACTAATAGACTGCTCGCTGAAATAACTATCACAGGGTCTGACCAAAGAAATTGACATTTGAATCCATCTGAATGATTTATCAACCAGCAAAGCACTAACAAAATGCTATGCTTTCCTGTGTTCTGAGTGATCGAATTTTCAGTCCTTCAAGTGGACTCCTAGCACTAGTTATACTTTGGTCATTTTTGAGTAAGATAATAGATAAATATATTACAAAATGAACAATAGATGACAGAAATCAAAATACTTTGTTTCAGTACTAATAGACTGCTCGCTGAAATAACTATCACAGGGTCTGACCAAAGAAATTGACATTTAAATCCATCTGAATGATTTATCAACCAGCAAAGCACTAACAAAATGCAAAATGCTAATGCTATGCTTTCCTTATTTTTTGAATTTTCAGTCCTTCAGGTGTACTAACATAGGGAATAGTGACTGAGGGTATATAAAGTAAGCATGGACACAGAACTAGCACTAGTTATACTTTGGTCATTTTTGAGTAAGATAATATCAGTCTAATATAATAAAATATCTGTTGCTAAGCTACGCTAAAAGTGCTCCTGCTGGACTCAGAGACTGACTGAAAGAAAGAAAGAAAGAAAGAAAGAAAGAAAGAAAGAAAGAGAGTGAGTGAGTGAGTGAGTGAGTGAGTGAGTGAGTGAGTGAGTGAGTGAGTGAGTGAGTGAGTGAGTGAGTGAGTGACGTGTTTTCTGTCTGGTGAATGAATTTAGCCTGGATACCCATTCATTTCCTATGGCTGTCACTTTTCAACGGGAACACCACAGATGTAACAAGGTTGATTTAACACTCAAAATGCAATGAAAGAGTTGATCATAACTTTTATATGTTCAAATGCATAGTGTGGAGGATATCATAAGGCCTTGAGGCAATCAGATGTAAAACACAATATTTATGAGTGATTCATCGTAGGGCTGCTCAATTTTGGGAAAAATCATAATCACGATTATTTTGGTCATAATTGTAATCACGATTATTCCAAACGATTATTAGTTGAAGTCAAAATTATTAGCACTCCTGAGAATTTTTTTAAAATAAATATTTCCCAAATGATGTTAACCAGAGCAAGGAATTTTAACAGTATTTCCTCTAATATTTTTCTTCTGGAGAAAGGCTTATTTGTTTTGTTTTGGCTAGAATAAAAGCAAATTTAAATATTTTGAAACCTCTTTTAAGGTCAATATTATTAGCCCCTTTAGGCAATATATTTTTTGATTGTCTGCAGAAGAAACTACTGTTATACAATGACTTGCCTAATTACCCTAAGTGAGCCTTTGAATCACACTTTGAATCACACTTATCTACTAAAATATAATGTACTGTCATCATAGCAAAGTAGGGTTGTAACGGTATGAATTTTTTACGGTATGATAATCGTCTAAAACAATACCACGGTTTGACGGTTTCGCGGTATACGGTATGTTACAAATGTTACAAAATAATAGAACAGTGAAGCAAATTTGACTTTTCCCAAATAATATATTTTTAGTTACTATAAACAACACCACTTACAATGAACAAATAAAAAATAAGAAAATAATAAATAATGTGTCAAAGTCCAAATAAAGTCCAAATAAACATGGTGCAAATCCTCAGTAAAAAAATAAATATAAATATTTACTATACTATAAATAGTTACATAACGAAACTAGATTCAATATGGAACATCCTTAGGTTTTATGTGCCAGCATGGATATGGTTGTCTGTGGATATGGATTTGGATATGGTTGTCTGCAATGCAGACAAACAGCTGCACCTTCATTTGCGTCTTTTGAAAACAGCAAGAGCAGCAGTTCGTCTTTGCTGTGACACTGTTTTGTCATGTTTCTGTGCTGCTGTGCATGCAAAAGTACTTAGTATGAGAATTATTTCATGCAAAACTTTTTTTTTTGCGTTTTATTTAGCCGCGCATAAATGTATGCCTATCTCTCATTCCGTGTTGTTCAAAAAGCTCATTGTTGGTCCACAAACAAAAGCGAAACCTATGCTTATTGGTTGTGATATAGCGAGTTTGAACCAATCTGGGCATGGAGGAGGGACAATGCACCAATGTATCATGTCTGGTTTGTCCGGAGACACAGTGACGAGCGTTTCTTTGTCAAATCAGCGTTGTCAAATTTTGATGACGTAACCGCACTGATTCCGGAGCCTCTGAAAGTCCGAATGATATGTGAGATTCTCTTCTTTATGCCAATCTTTGAATTGTATGAATCGGATTAGCGGATTAAAAGTTATTAAACATTTAAGAGCAATACTTATTTTTAGCCGCGGGCGGCTGCCTCGGTCTTTAAGGGTTAAAACCGTTGATATGCAATTGTTCATGGTATGATAATCGTGCACGTTCAAATCGTGGTAAACCGTCATACCGGTATATTGTTACAACCCTATAGCAAAGATTAAAATTATTAGAAATGAATGATAAAAACTATTATGTTCGGAAGTCTTCCATTAAACAGAAATTGGGGGGGAAAGGTTGTTAATATTCAGAAGGGCTAATAATTCTGACTTTAACTGCATATATTATTTTCCTCCCTGCAAAGGAAAGAGAAATAAATACAATAAAATAAAAATATGAAACAAACTGTGCTTTTAGCATCTTCGCCGTAAGAAAAACACTTTAGCTACAAAAGTTTTCAGTCAAGAAACATAAAACAGGCGGCAGCTGTGCTCTGTCACTTTAATGGTTTCGCTTTCACGTGTCTTTTGATTCTCAACTCGTTTGTTTATTACAAAATGAGGGTCAATATGAATAATCACTAAACACCGTGTTTTGACACCTATTTGAACATTAAAGCGCTCGCGTTAATTACTTTAGAATTAAAGAATTTAGAATTACTTTTTTACCAAGTGCAGACCGCATGCTTCTGACTGTCAGCACGCCGCACATACATAAGCATGCGGTCTTTCGTGCTTTTAAGACCAACAAGTGAGGACAACTGGAAAGGGGGCGGTAAATAATGGAATAATCTTTTATCTCGATTAATGGTTTTTCATAATCGTTAGGAGCCATAATCGAAATTAATTGCACAGCCCTAATTCATTGGTCAAATTTGACCCTAACACGACAGGAAGGTCAAGCTGAACACTAAAAAATCTAGTCAAATATTATGTATTGTCATAATGACAAAGATAAAATAAATCAGTTGTTAGACATTTATCATCGAACAAAATGTATAGATGTGCTGAAAATACACCAAATAATTTAGTATAAAGGTGCTGTAATATGCCCAGTAACATGCCAGGTTTTTTCCCAATGAGTGTCCTATAAAGAGTTTAACTAAATTAGATGTAATAATTGAGGAGATAACAATCTAAACTGTAATTATTACATTATTTTAAACTATTTTACATAAAATAATGTAAATGATATACCTGTGGCCAGTCCAGTAGAGCTGCAGTCATCTGTCCAGTTTGATTGCAGTCATCATCTATGGCCTATTGAATGTATATTAATATCATCCCATTAGTGTATGTTCATTTGTTCATTCATTTTTCTTTGTCTTCGTCCCTTTATATATTTATCAGGGGTCGCCACAGTGGAATGAACCGCCACCTATTCTAGAATATGTTTTATGCAGCGGATGCCCTTTCAGCCACAACCCAGCACTGGGAAACACCCATAGACTCTCTCATTCACACACACATTCATACAATATGGCTGATTTCATTCACTCAATTCACCTATAGCGCATGTGTTTGGACTGTGGGGAAAACTGGAGCACCAGGAGGAAACCCACGCCAACACGAGGAGAACATGCATACTTCGTAGAGAACTGCCATCTGGCCCAACCAGGACTCGAACCAGTGACCTTCTTGCTGTGAGGCGACAGTGCTAACCACTGAGCTACTGTTCCTTCCCTAATGCATATATTGTCTTTAAACTGCACAGTAATTAACAGCTTATGAGTGTCATGTACCTGTTTCCCCAGAATAATCAGACTGGCTTCTTCCTTTTTAGCGAGAGCAGCTAAAATCTTGGAGACCTGTAGAGGGCCGAGAGTCTCGTAGTCTTTTCCGGAAACTTCCACATGAATGCCACGGTCTGCTCCCATGGCCAGAGCCGTCCGGATTGTCTCCTGCAAAATAGATAGCACTGTCATTAAATGCGATTTAATATTCTCTCCTAATGTAGGAAAGGAAACGTCAATTTACTTGAGACAATGCCATTTTTAGTTTATTTTACAATTTAATGTACTCCTGTGATAGTAGATAGTCTGACCACAACAACATTGAAAAAAAAAAAAAACTTACAGCATGATTTTTTTTTTACTTTCTGCAATTTATACTGCGATATACACTCACTGGCCACTTTATTAGGTACACTTACTAGTACCGGGTTTGACCACCTTTTGCCTTCAGAACTGCCTTAACCCTTCGTGGCATAGATTCAACAAGGTTCTGGAAATATTCCTCAGAGATTTTGCTCCATATTGACATGATAGCATCATGCAGTTGCTGCAGATTTGTCGGCTGCACATCCATGATGCGAATCTCACGCTCCACCACATCCCAAAGGTGCTCAGTTGGATTTGGATCTGGTGAATGTGGAGGCCATTTGAGTACAGAGAACTCATTGTCATGTTCAAGAAACCAGTCTGAGATGATTTATGCTTTATAACATGGCGGTATCCTGCTGGAAATAGCTGAAGATGGGCACACTGTGGTCATAAAGAGATGGACATGGTCAGCAACAATACCCAGGTAGGCTGTGGCGTTGACACCATGCTCAATTGGTACTAATGGGCCCAAAGTGTACCAAGAAAATATCCCCCACACCATTACACCACCAGTCTGAACTGTTGATACAAGGCAGGATGGATCCATGCTTTCGTGCTGTTGATGCCAAGTTCTGACCCTAGCATGCAGATTGGTTTGGATAGACTGGAATGATTTTGTAGGGGAGAGCATTTGCATTAAAACTATTATAAACCAATTAAAAGCAAAAGATAAAGTAGAGCAGGGGTCACCAACCTTTTTGAAACTGAGAGCTACTTTTTGGGTATCCATTAATGTGAAGAGCTACCAGTTTGATGCACACTTAAATAACAGATTTGCTCAATTTACTAGTTATGTTATTATTAATAATTAATGATATTCATCTATGTGAAGACACTGATCATGTTAATGATTTCTCACAATAGTTGTCAACAATGATTTAACAAGGAAACTGATAAATATCAATATGCAACATGTCATTTGTCTGAAATAGTTTTTTATATACAGTATAACTTCATGTCATTTTCAGTTTTACACCAATGCAAGTGTGATTTAAAAAGTGTTTTATAGTAAAGTAAAAAAGGTAAAAAAAAAAATATTAGATGCAGCTTTCTGGTAAGTGGCACTATGATGAGCTATTTTTAGAACAGGCTGGCGGGCAACTCATGTGATCCTCGCGGGCCAGGGCTCGAAATTGCGACCATTTTGGTCGCATATGCGCCGGAAATTTTATCTATGCGATCTCAAAATATATTTGGGAGCATTGCTGCGAGTGCTTAAAATTGTTGCGTGCGACCAGTTTTTACTGCAAAATGTTCACCACATGCGTGGATTCGGTTAGACATTCATGCAGAATGCATCTCTAAGCTCTTTGTTTGCACTTGAAACGCGAAACGCAGCGCTCAGGAATGGTTTAAAACAGTTGTCATGTCAACTTGCTGCAGTAAACAAAGTCAAGTCCGTAATGCTTGCCCCGGCTTCGCGCTCTTCTTATTGGCCCACCACTGCTCTAGCACTGAACGCGAATGATTGGTTAATATCAGCTGTCAATCACTCAGTCAGCGCCTGCTGGCTTCGGATGACAGAGAGCTACTACCGCGAAAAACTAAAGCGCTAAAGATGAGAATGAAGATAACGCGGACAGATTTATTAAATAATGACACATCTTACTAGTGATCATGTGCTGAATGTTAATCCACCATCTACACTTTTCCAAGAGTAGAAGACTTCTGTTGGCTTCAAGTCCACTATAAAAAGTCTGTGGGATGGAGTTTTCAGGTAATAATTTGCTGTTTGCCACATCTATCACGAGAGCTTCTGTTTAATCCTTCATATAATTGCCAGATGCTGTCCGCCGTGCAAGGGGCAGCTATATGTCAAATTTAACACCACGTACACCATCGCAAACGGGCTTACACTGAGTAAATTAATATCTCTACTCATAAAAAGACCGGTATGGCTATTAACATGACGTATGCATATAATAAGTCAAAAGCATCAGTGCAATATCAGACAGCACTTGTGAGAACAGCACAGTTAACGTTATACCGTTAACAGATTCATTCAAGCAGTGCTTGCAGGGCCGGTGAGCGCTCCGTGTATGCTTTGGTCACTCAGTCATGTTATAAAAATCTATTTTCTTGTGATAACGGGATTTCGTTGAGACATATTTTCCTCACGCACGCATATTTATATATATATATATATATATGCTTGTTAGTTTGATTACTGTTGATTTCAAATACAATAAATCTGTTTGTATAAAACTTGTAGTAACGGTGCTCATAATTGGTGGGTGCGACTAAATTTTGGCTGATGCGCCTCCATTTTTAAAGTAAGGAGCACTGGTGCTACCAAGCAAAAAGGTTAATTTCGAGCCCTGCGGGCTACCTGGTGCCCACAGGCACCATGTTGGTGACTCCTGAAGTAGAGTACATATATAAATGAAGGAGTATATTGTGGAATCACTCGCTGCGATATCGTTGTTAAATCGATATATTGGGCAGCCCTAGTATAAGGGTGAGACTTCGGATCCAGCACTAGGGTCTCTGTTACCTGGACCTGCTGAGGGCCGCAGCTGACGGCCACAACCTCCTTAATCAGCTTCTTCTCCTTGAGTTTGACAGCCTCCTCCACTGCGATCTCACAGAAGGGGTTCATCGAGTGCTTCACACCGTCTGTGACCACTCCAGTGTGGTCAGGCTTGACTCGGATCTGAGAGGGAGAATGGCAAAACAAGAAACACAATGCCATTATATGACTTTTCACACTTATGTGGGTCAGCTCATTATCATGCATAACAACACCGAAGGATAAAGATGGTGACTGAACTGAAGGCTTTGCTCTATTTCTACAGTATCTATGCTTGTGATTTGAGTATTATATCCTACCCAGATCCATTCCAGTACAAAATCATCCCAATCTAAAATGGATTGAATTGTCTGTTTTAGTTTCCAATATCACTCAGCCTTAATGCACAGCGTTGTGTATTTAAAGCGGGTTGTTCACTCAGTTATTTAAAATGTAAATTTACTCGCCATTTACTCTCCCTCAAGTGTTTCCAAACCTTTACGAGTTTCTTACTTCTGTTAAACACACAAGATGTTTTAAAGGAAGTCAAAATCCTGTCCTCATTGACTTTCTTAGTAGAAAAAATAAACAAACAAATACTACGGAAGTAAATGATAAACGGTTTCCAACATTTTACAAAACATCTCCTTTTGTGTTTAACAGAAGATAGAAACTCGGGGTCCAACAAGTAAATGATGACAGATTAGCACCTTTGGGTGAACTGTCCCTTTAAGTAACAGGCGATATGTTTGACTTCAGATGACCTGTTCAAATACTATGCCAAAGGTAGCATGAAGGACACAGACAGACTCTGATATCATTAAAGCTTCTTTCATAATCTAAGGCATGCAGACAACACACAATAACCTTTCAGCAACTCAACAGCTGATATTAACATCACATTATACCTCCAAATCAATATCCATATATATTAGGATTATTGGATCATAGATTAGTCTAATCTGCAATTCCATGACCTCCAAACATAAACGCAAGCTTGTATATGTTGAATATATTCAGCTTATACTAAAAAAAAGATTTTCTGCTGCTTGTTAAAATAACTTAAATAAAATGAGCTGAAACAACATTAATTTTAGTTTTTTTGGGGTGACAAAATAACATTTTGGTGAACTTTTTACTTTTTACTGGAGTCTGCTGAAGAAAATGATCTTTAAAGAGTAAGATTGGACATTTGACACTGTGCTGATTAACTTGGCTGATCAATATGACCTTACAATCAATAAATAACAACACACACAGCAACCCATTTACTATCTGATTTATTTATAATGGCAACAACCAGAAGAGTACAAGTCTACAGAATAAAGTTGCTGCTTCTAGATAAAAAAAAAAAACACACAATAAAATGCAACTAATTTCTTAAGAAAACTATCATTTACTTTGGATATTTTTTAATCTTTAACTTTATTTAGTATAAGTTTGAATAAAAGTCAGACAAATTAATGAGTGAAAAGGGATGATATTTTACGGCATTTACTGAACACAGTGTTTATGACACATTTGGCCACATAAACTGCCCTGAATACTTAATTAATATTAAATAAAATTACTTTGCATAAAAGCCTTTTGCAATACAGTTTATATCCTGAAAATAAACTTATCCCAGCCACATTTGTACTGTGAGTGTTGATACTGCTTCCCATAAAATTATTATTAAAATACTATAATAAAAAATATAATAATAATAATAATAATAATAACAATAATTATTATTATTAATGATTATAAGTGCTCTCATTTAATGTCAGCTTGAATTAAAAATAAACAATATATTAAATAAATAATATATAACATAACAATAATAAATTACTAATAGATTACCCCTTTCCCATACAATTTTAATAGATATAACTGAAAAAATGTTAAACAGATACACTATCATACACAGTGCATAGTAAATTCCTTTGAACAAATGAATGAATATATAAATATAAATGAATGAATTGAATGAATTTTATATATATATATATATATATATATATATATATATATATATATATATATATATATATATATATATATATATATATATATATATATATATATACGTGAGCAATTCCATGCAAATGTCATGAAAAATAAAAAGTTCTCATAAAAATACGGAAACTATTTCTGGGTTTTTTGTGTAAGCAAGTATTTTAAAGTACTTTAGAAATACTCAAAAATGCATCTGTCAATGTTTTCAAAGTATTCTATTTGATTTACCAAAGTCACAGAAGTGGCAATTTTACATCTGTCACATACATAATGAAGAGATGTTACATCCACAACTACACTTTTTACCTCATAAATGTGAAAATATAAAATAAAGTCAATCATTTTAGTTTAATAGACAGCCGACTCTTATCCTTTTGATTATTATTGTTTCTTTTGGATTCTTATGTCACATCCATAACGCATGTTTATTTTCCTCATTTTAAATACAAAACATGTTTACAAGGTGATGTTTTTCTGCTCTTAAAACTTTGTGGTCAGTTGTTCTTTACATAAACAGTTGCAATAATATAATGTTAACATTTACTTTCTGTTTGAATTTACGTTTTGAGATTTTACTGGAAATGTCACATCCATAATTCTGGAATTGCTCATAAATAGAAAAATTGTGCAATTTTAGGTAGAGACAACAATAGATGTTAATGGAGGTTTTACAAATAATTTCAAGTTTAATATAACCGTGATAACAACTTTATTAATAGCATAAACTCAATCCAACCGTCTTATTTTAATACTACATAGTATGAATTCCTAAAACATTAGTTCATGTGTAATTGTTTGGATACTTTTTTGGATGTATTGCATTATGTTATGTCACACAACCAGTTCAGGTACTTGTTTACAAAACTAACTAACTTAGACAAGTCAGACAACAAAAACAGCTCATATTTTAGACTGCGAGTGTGTATGTGTAAGTAGATTTGCTTGAAAACAACATTTACAACATTACAAAATTACAAATTATTACAAAAACAACATTTTTAACGCTGACCTTCATCCCACAACACTCCTCAAACCCCATTCAACAGAACAGCTGGCGATATGGCGTACAAATTAAGCCAACTAGGTGTTTATTCATAATTAAAAACATCTGATTGAGTTTGCTGGAAGATAATTTGACGTATACCTTGACTGCATAGTCAATGACCCGTTTAACTCCGACCAGAACTCGGGCGCTCATCGTGGATCTTTGCTCTGACGGTTCAGTAGGAAAATCCACCCGGAGTAGTGCTGCTGTGACACCGTTTAGGGCGGGCTTTAATGTACGCCCATTTCGACAGCCAATAGAAATGCGCAGATCATAGAGATGTCAATCAGAAACTGAGGTTTGGCCAATCAGCGACTCTGAGTGTATATGCGCTCTGACTAAACCGACTGATTTTGTGTTCCTACACAAGTAGGTTAAAGGTCGCGTGAATACTGTGACTAAATGCAGGACTGACAGCACCTATAGAGCGCACTATAATTACGAAATACGTATAAATAAGTGATGACAGAAGTGAAATTTGATCTGACTTCGAAACAACCAACAATATTCGCAAAATGAAGCCCTAAACAGCACGTTAAGGACATCTGCTGGTCAGTGAAAGGATACCAGGCAAAAGTAAACACGATATTATAAACATCTTATAGTAATAATGAATTGTAAACGATAATGATGTATTTGTACTTTGTATATCTATTGAAAAAAATCGGTTTTCTGGATTTTCTATTTGAGGTTTAGTAAATCGTAACATGTTTTATTCAACTGATTTATTGAAAGTAATTCCTGCCTATTTTAAATAAGTCAAATAACCTTAAACGATGGAAATTGAAATGAAAACCAGATTAACAATATCATTATAAATCACTGTTGGCAAAATATCTGCCAATATTTAGTTTCCTCCGGGTGCTTTGGTTTCCCCCACTCAAAAAACGTGTGTGAATTGGGTAGGCTAAAACTGTTCATAGTGTATGTGTGTAAATGAGTGTGTATGGATGTTTCCCAGTGATGGGTTGCAGCTGGAAGGGCATCCGCTGCATTAAACATATGCTGGATAAGTTGGTGGTTCGTTCTGCTGTGGCGACCCCAGATTAATAAAGGGACTAAGTCGAAAAGAAAATGAATAAATAAATGAAATTATTTAATTTTCATTTTTATTTTCACCGTGGCAACATATCGTCCTTGGGAAATTGATAAATAAAATACTGATAATATTTATTCATTCATTCATTTTCCTTCGGCTTGGTCCTTTTATTCAACTTATCCTGCATATGTTTTATGCCCTTACAGCCGCAACCCAGTAGCCTACTGGCAAACACAACCTCATACTGATTACATTTCTTCCATATTAAAAATTATATTGTAATTTAGACTTTTTATTTTTTGACAATACAACATAATTTTGTACTTCAGAAGAGTAAAAAAAAAACGATATGCTGTATCCCAAGGGTGCCCTAACATCAGGAGAGTTCCTAATCAAACACACCTAGCTTATCAAGCCCTTATTACAGTGATCACCAAACTTGTTCCTGGAGGGCTGGTGTCCTGCAGATTTTACCTCCAACCCTAATCAAACACATCTGAACTAGCTAATCAAGGTTTTACTAAGTATACTTGAAACATCCAGGCAGGTGTTGAGGCAAGTTGGAGCTAAACCCTGCAGGGAAACCAGCCCTCCAGGACCGAGATTGGTGACCCCTGTCTTATTAGATATACTAGAACAGGGGTGGGAAAACTCAGTCCTGAGGGCCGGTGTCTTGCATAGTTTAGCTCCAGCACTAATCAAACACACCTGAACAAGCTAATCAGTGTCTTCAACATCACTAGAAATCTATAAGCGTGTGTTTGATTAGAGTTGGAACTAAACTGTGCAGGAGACTGCCCCTCCAGGACTGAGTTTGCCCACCACTGTACTAGAAACTTCCTGGCAGGTGTGTTGAAGCAAGTTGGAGACACTCTCCAGGTCACTGGCTCTCCAGGACCAAGTTTGGACACCCCTGCTGTATACATACTGTATATAAAACGAGTTTGTTATTTTCTGACCAGTTCTGAAATTTAGCAGAAATGTGGTCAGACCCTTTAAAACAGGGGTAACCAATCTCGGTCCTGGGGGGCCGGTGTCCCTGCAGGGTTTAGCTCTAACTTGCCTCAACACACCTGCCTGGGTGTTTCAAGAATACCTAGTAAGGCCTTGATTAGCTAGTTCAGATGTGTTTGATTAGGGTTGGAGGTAAAATCTGCAGGACACCGGCCCTCCAGGAACAAGTTTGGTGACCAATGCTTTAGGTTAAAATCAAATACTCAAATCACAATTTTATTTCTCTATTCCTGATACTAAACTACATTCTTAAAATACCATTTTTATCTAGACATGAAATTTAATATTTCAGTTTCAGTACACTGCAAAAAATGCTTTTCTTACTTAGATTTTTTGTCTTGCTTCTAGTCCAAATATCTACAAATTCTTAAATCAATAAGCATTTTCTACACAAGCAAAACATATTGTCTTGTTTTAGGAAATAATATGCCAAAATGAAGTGAGTTTGTCCTTAAAACAAGCAAAATAATCTGCCAATGGGGTAAGCAAAATAATCTTGTTTTTCAATTTGTGATATGATTATTTTGCTTACCCCATTGGCAGATTATTTTGCTTGTTTTAAGGACAAACTCACTTCATTTTGGCATATTATTTCCTAAAACAAGACAATATGTTTTGCTTGTGTAGAAAATGCTTATTGATTTAAGAATTTGTAGATATTTGGACTAGAAACAAGACAAAAAATCTAAGTAAGAAAAGCATTTTTTGCAGTGTAATATATATTTGATAATTTCTGTCCTCTGATGTCAAATGTTTCAGAATCAAGTCTCTTAATTCTTAATTCTCATTCATTCATTCATTTTCTTGTCGGCTTAGTCCCTTTATTAATCTGGGGTCGCCACAGCGCAATGAACCGCCAACTTTTATCCAGCAAGTTTATACTTCCAGCTGCAACCCATCTCTGGGAAACATCCACACACACATTCACACACACACTCATACACTACGGACAATTTAGCCAACCCAATTCACCTGTACGGCATGTCTTTGGACTGTGGGGTGAAACCGGAGAACCCGGAGAAAACCCACACGAACGCAGGGAAAACATGCAAACTCCACACAGAAACGCCAACTGAGCCGAGGATCGGACCAGCAACCCAGCGACCTTCTTGCTGTGAGGCGAACGTGCTACCCACTGCACCACTGCATCGCCTTCTCTTAATTCTTAAAAGATATAAATAAATAAGCCAATGTTTGCAGTAAAAGTAAATATATTTAATAATATAATAGTTTTCTAAATGATCGTATATATAGTTGAAGATTTCTTTCAACACATTTCTAGTTTTAATAGCTCATTTCTAATCACTGGTTTATTTAATCTTTGCCATGATGACAGTAGATAATATTTGACTAGATATTTTTCAAGACACTTCTATACAGCTTCAAGTGACATTTAAAGGCTTAACTAGGTTAATTATGCCCACATACCAAATATATCTGGCCCAGATCTGGCCCATACAATCAGCTTTTGCTTGGCCCACATGCCGCAGTGGAGTACATGACTGGACCAAGTCTGGCTTCCAGACAAGGGCCAAACGTGGACCATATCAAGTCTCAGCCAAGTTAATACCACACAACTGAGCCTGAACTGGGCCAGATATGTTGGTGTGTCACAACTTCAATTGCAATGAAATTGATAAATGAATCATTGTGCTTTAGGTGTGCTATGGGCGTGCTTTTACTCGAAGCAACATGATTGTTTTTTTCTTTTTTTTTTTCTTTATTTGAAAATAATAAAAATGTATTTTAAATGTGGGTCAAGAATCAAGATAGGCCAAACTCACATGGCCCACATATCAATTATTAATATCTGGGACAAATACTACAATTTACATTTGGCCCATTTACTGTGTGCCACCTTAAAGACGGTGCCACCTCTGCAGGGCCGGATTAACCAATGGGCCTTATGGGCACAGGCCCAGGGGCCCGTGCGCACTAGGGGCCCCTGCGAGGGGGAAGAAAAAAAAAGACAATTTCGGAGTGTCTTTTTTGGCTAATTGCAAATAGCGCAAATAGTTGGAATAAGCTATTCAGGGTTTACGCCCATCGATGCCTGATTGATAGAGACAACATGAGTAAAGAGCTGCTAATTATTACAGCTGCAGTAGCGCACCTTGTAAGGCGCACGGCATCATCTTTTGACGCGATTAATCAAAAACTCGGTTCGAATCCACCATCAGCTGAACTCGTGCTACATTTTTTTCTCCCCATTACATATCAGATTGGAAATATATTTATTTTTAACAGGAAGGAAACATTTTTTAAAAATAATGCAAATGTGATATAAAGTCACAAGTGTCTGGTGGGTATTTAATAATGTTTAGCCTTATTATAGGTGCCTCCCTCTCTGCAAAAACTATATTGCTCAGACAACTGTATTTCCTCAGAGCAAAAAAATCGCGATCACATATTAATATTATTATTATATTTAAACTGCCTTTTTTTCTTTAACTAAACAGAATGCTGTATTTGGTCAAGCGCGGAAAAGTCAGTTTTGTAATAACCCGCACTAAACTGAGCGGACTTTAGTGTAACGTTATATCTATCATAGATCAAAAATGAGTGGACAAGTGGATTTAGCAAACGCGTGAGAAAGAGGAGAGGAGGCATCTTTATTGAGGCATTTTCCATACACACCATCTTTAAACAGACCCATGATCAGGAGAATGAGGGTACAGAAAAAGACGTTATGGTAACTTTAAATGATGAAAAGTTAGCATTAACCAGGCGGAGGAGGCTACGGCAGCGCAGCGCGGACTGGATTCATCGTGTGAGAGACAGACAGAAAAGGAGAGAGAGAGGGAGAGAGAGAGAGAGAGAGAAAGGCCCAAAAGAGGAGAGAGACGGGAGAGAAGAGGTATAGTGTGTGTGATTTCGGATACTTTTAGGTTTATTATCAAGTCTTCATCACGAGAAGAGTAGAGAAAATACAGGGAGAGGAGGAGACTCAGATTTATAGAACTCAGATTCATAGAACTGGATTGGAGAAGCATTGTGCGTTATATGCCATAAAAAAAAAAAAAAAAAAAAAAAAAAAAATATATATATATATATATATATATATATATATATATATTGTTTTATTAGTATTTTTATTCAATGCTTTGAAAAATAAGTTAAATCTTTGTAGACTATAAATACATATGTACTATATATCATTTATTTAAAAATTATAGATTAATTTTATTTAAAAATTATTATATTATTCTTATTTTTTTAATTCAACTATAGGGGTGCGGCCAGGTAGGGGGCCTTACAAGACAAGGTGCCCAGGGGCCCCTGAGTTCTTAATCCGGGCCTGCACCTCTGCCAAACCAGGGCCATGTTTGGCCCACATGCTGTATGCCAGTGCCGGATGAATGCTTGCTGTGCCAGATTTATGCCAAATCTGGGCAAGAATTTATTGCTACTTGGTTGGTAATTAGGCTAGTCATTGAATGACTGTGATTTTGTTCTGTAGACAATCGAAATATTGCTTGTGTAACCCTGCCGGTCCTATGCCACCCAACCCGCTCTGAGCTGGTATCAAACCGGCGACCTTCTGCATGGGAGTCGGTTATTCTACCAAGGGGGCTAAAGACCATGGCCTCTAGCGTGTGTCGCCAGAGCACCTTTAGAGGTCAGAGGAGTGAGGTTTACCTGCACAGCAGTTATTAGCTTGCCTCCGTTACACCCATACCCCTAAACCTCACTCCCATCCGGGTCACGGCACCAACATAACCCCTCCAGTCCTACACCACTCAACCTGCTCCGAGCTGGGATCAAACCGGCGACCTTCCGCATGGGAATCAATTGCTCTACCAAGGAGGCTAAAGACCATGGCCTCTAGCGTCTGTTTACCCGCACAGCACTTACTAGCTGGCCCCGGTTACACTTAAGGGGGCTAATGATATTGACTTTAAAATGTCTTTTAAAAATTAAACAAACGCTTTTATTCTAGCTGAAATATAACAAACAAGAAGAAAAAATATTATTGGAATTACTGTCAAAATTTCCTTGCTTCATTAAACATCACTTAAGAAATATTTAAAAAAGAGTAAATATTTCATATGAGGGCTAATCATTTCCCCCTCAACTGTATTTGTGTGTGTGCAGGATAAAATATTAAAAATATTACCATTTTATTGATGGATTTATGATTGATTTATTGATTTCATTTATTATCACACTCCAGTTCAATTGGTGGCAGTAATGTTGCACATCCCGATCGATTTGTAAACCCCTTAAAAGCAGAAGAAGCGGACTCTCACATGACTGCAGTGTTTGTCCCCGTGATCATCTGTGAGAGAGTCAGAGCTCTGATGGATCAGCTGGAGCTCAACTCAACTCACACACACTTCACTCAGGTAATGCATTACACACACACACAAACACAAAAACACACACTGCAATGCTTTCCCACAGGTATGAGAAATGTTTCATGCATGCAGGACTTTACATGCACTGTACGTTTGAGAAGGCAATGATTAAATAATAATAATATTAATAATAATAATAATTAAATTTGATTTTGTTGATGCATACTGAACGTTTTGGCTACTTTTCAGAGTACAACAAGTGGGAAGTTAAATAAAAAGTTGATGTATTGTTCTAGGTAGTTGGTTTTATATTGCATGTTTATATGCCACAGGAGCAAGACGTTTATCTGGAGTCGCAAATATCAAGAATTTGGACCAACAGCTGAAGGTATGTTTGTTATTAAGTTGTGTTCGTCACATGATGCTTCATGCAATTGATCAAGACATTTGTTCCACGATGCATGCTGGATATGTTACAGTTCTCCTATCCTAGAATAGTGTAATAAAGCAATAAGATCTGTTGTTTTTATTATTTGGGTTTCAGTGTGATGTGCTGTAATGTATATTTTAACCCTTAACTGTCATCACACTTATTCAGTTTTGCACACTTAATAGTGATATATCATAGGCACTTATTATTTGTGAAGATGGTGGCACTGTCACCTTACAGTTGGCATATATGTGTGGAGTTTGCTTGTTCACCCTGTGTTGGCGTGGGTTTCCTCTGGTGTCCAAACACATAGGTCAATTGATTACACTAAATTGGCTGTAGTGGGTTGCAGCTGGTAGGGGTGTTGCTGTGTAAAACATATGCTGGAATAGTTGGCGGTTCCTTCCACTGTGGCGACCCCTAATAAATAGGGACTAAGCCAAAGGAAAATGAATGAAAGGATTTTTTAAGATAAGTTCAGGTGTAGTCAAAAGATGTACTGTGTGTAGGACAGGGTTAAACATATTTTATGTTTTATTTTATTTCTTCATTATACATTCTTTTTTATGGCATAATATTAATTGAGAGACTTTTAGATTACTTATTGACAGGTGGGCTTCCTGTCAGGATCATCAGAGATAAGTCTTTATTACATACGGAAGCCAAACATTGTGAGAGGAAGATAAAATCAATGTCATTGACACAGAATGTGTCTGTCTGTATGTTTTCCTGTATAGTTTTTTTTTGCTTGATATTTCCCAATTTCACATAGTGGAATGTATATATATTATATATTATAAGGTTAACTCATTTATTCATTCTTTTAATACAAATTATATATTTGTAATTTTTATATAATAATAATAATAATAAAAACAACAACAATAATAATAATTATTATATTTTATATTATTTTTCATTTTTACTTGAATTGAATTGTTATTTGTTATGCAGTATTTGTTACATTGCCTTTAATTTAATCTTATCATTAATAATACAGATTAAAACATTGTGTTAATTTATTTTTTAGTTTTAATATAAAATATATTATTAAACATATATTTGTAGCTTTTAATAAAAAAAATATTAAATATACCAAAGTCTTTGACTGTCTGTCCAATATAGTGTATTTTTCTGCATAATATTTGACAACTTCACATTTTATATAGTGAAATATATTATATGTTGTATTATTCAATCATTTATTTATTATTTTAATGCAAATTATATATTTTAAAATAATATATTAATATATTATTATTATTATTAATATTATTATTATTATTATTATTATTATTATTATTACAATAATATTATAATATAATATTTTATTAATAATTAATAATTATAATATTAATATAACAATAACAACACTACTATACTACTACTACTACTACTACTACTACTAATAATAATAATAATAATAATAATAATAAGAAATAACAAATTATATGTTATTATTATTATTATTATTATTATTATTATTTTATTATTATTATTTTACATTTTTATTTGAATTGTTATTTGAATCGTTATTTGTTGTTATTTATTATTTATGTAGTATTGGTTGCACTGCCTTTAATTCAATCTTAACATTAATTATACAGATTAAAAACATTGTATTAATTTATTTTACATTTTTAATATAAAATATATCGTTAAACATTTATTTGTAGTTATAAATAAAAAATATGATTCAATATAATCTAAATCGAGTAATGCTTTTTTGATGCACTGCCTTTCTTTAATTTATACTTAACAACAGTAAATATACTGAATTAAAAGTAATAAAAGTATTAAAGTATTACATGAAATAAATAATGTATTCCTGTAATATAATAAGAATAACTACTGATAATAATAATAATAATAATAATAATAATAATAACAACAATAATAATAATAATAATAATAATAATAATAATAATAATAATAATAATAATAATAATAATAATAATAATAATAATAATAATAATAATAATAATATTAAATTGCATTATCATTGGTATAATATTAATAAAAAGGCCAATCATCTGGATGCATTGCAGTTATGAAAGTATAGGAGAGAAAGTACTTGATTATCATGCTAAATAATATGACAATGCCAAAAATCCCTCTTTTTTCAACTCTGATTGCACATTGCTTTTATTTTTATTTTGCATGTCGTTGTGTTGAGTGTCACCCATTAGCACTGGCAGTCATGTGATTGTAATCTCTGGCTGGGATTGGCACTGAGTCGCTGTCACATGTCAGTCAGGAGGCAGGTCACATGACAGATAATTGAAGGAGCGAGGGGGGGAGGGAGCTGATGTTAAGGGGTTTTTACAAATACTTATTCTTTGACTGAACAACTGTGTCCTTATAGACCTTTAAATTAGATCATGCACAGCTCTCTGCATCCACTGGATGGATGATTATTAAGGGGATGAATTGAGAAATTCAACCTGGAGAAACTTCCATCTGCAATTTATATAGAATTATGACATACTTCCCATATATCAGGGCATATAATAGCAGCAGTCTGTCTTGGTTTGAATGTAATGTAGTGTCATGGCCAGGGGCCTAGTGGACTATCTAAAAGTGGGAGAGACAGCTGTATGAAATCCAAAAGTTTACATTCTTAATCACCTGTTTCTAAATAGGCTGTCTCTAAAAGTAAGGGGGACGTATCCCCCCCGGTTGCTATATGCCCCTGGTCATGTCCACATGTTTATGTTCGTTTGGTTGCTTGATTCTTCTATCAGTGCATGGATATGATATATATAATCTTAAAAGTGTAAATATAAAGATGCACTCAAATCAATTAAACTAATCCATCTGAAAACCTTGCCCTTTCTAAATATTCTATGCAAAAAAAAAAAAATAAAAACAAATAAATAAATAAATAAAAAAGACAATTTTTAAAATTTAAATAAGGAAGAAATGTCGTTAGTATTTATATCTATAATATATATAATTTATGTTATTGAAATATATTTTGTTTAAATATTTTTTTCATAACTATTGTTGTTATTCTACTGCAATTTTACTAAAATATTATTATTATTATTATTATTATTATTATTGTTGTTGTTGTTGCTATAATTGTAGTAATAATAATAATTGTTGTTGTTGGAGATGTTATTGTTATTATTATTATTATTATTATTATTATTATTATTTTTGCTGCATCAAAGCCCTCTAATTGAGATATGAGATTTCATTAATCAATAAAATCTACATTATGGAATGCAGGGGTGACACACTGGCTCAGTTTGCATGTTCTCCCCGTGTTGGCGTGGGTTTCCTCTGGATGCTCCGGTTTTCCTCACAGTCCAAACACATATGCTATAGGTGAAACTAGATTGGCCTTAGTGTATGTGTGTGAATGAGAGTGTATGGGTGTGTCTCAGTATTGGGTTGCAGCTGGAAGGGCATCCACTGTGTAAAACATATGCTGGATTAGTTGGCGGTTCATTCTACTGCGGCGACCCCTGATGAATAAAGGAACTAAGCTAAAGGAAAATGAATGAATGAATCATAGAATGTGTTTCCACAGTCATGGTAAACCAAAAAACATAAAATAATTCACACATCCACTGAAAATGCATAGTTTAGAAAACGATATGACATTGGTCAAACAGTATGTGATAAAAATAACAATTAGTCTGTAAACAAAGTTCCACACAGTTCATTCAGTTTGACCCAGCACAAATCGGTTAAGGTAATGTAACAAATTTAAGTGGATTGAACATAACAAAATTAAGTTGACCCAAACAAATCTCAAGAATTGTGTTGTTTCAGTCTATTTTAGGTAAGTAGTTTGAATCTAAATCAATCTAAAAATCTATATTTTATGGCATTAATCAATTAATGTTGGAACAACCTGAATGAACTTTGCGGAACCCAGCATATTTTTGCCACAGCCACATCACCCTGCAGCCCAAAACGGGTTACTCACTGAAGCCAAGCAGGGCTGAGCCTGGTCAGTACCTGAATGGGAGACCACAAAACTAGGTTGCTGTTGGAAGTGGTGTTAGAGAGGCCAGCAGGGGGCGCTCAAACTGCAGACTGTGTGAGTCCTGATGCCCCAGCATAGTGAAAGGGACACTATACTGTCAGTGTACCCCGTCTTTTGGATTAGATGTTAAACCAAGGTCATCAAAATCCCATGGCACTTCTCATTAAGAGTAGGGGTGTAACCCTGGTGTCCTGGCCAAATGTCCTCTATCGGTCCTCACCGATCATGGCCTCCCAATCATCCCCATCCGCCGAATTGGCTCTATCACTATCTCCAATCCACATATAGCTGGTATGTAATGAGCGCATTGGCCTTGTTGTCCTGTTGTCAAGTGGATGCTGCACACTGATGTTAGTGTGGAGATACCCCACTCATGATTGTGAAGCGATTTGGGTGTATGGCCACACACTATATAAATCCACACATTACATGACATTACATTATTTTTTTTTTAAAGCAACCCCCCCCCCACACTATTAATGTCTCTGTGTTTTTCTTCTTCAGGGGACGTATCAAGCGATTCAGGTCTCAGATCAGCATTTGGAGGGTAAAGGTGAAGCCGGAGGGCTGGTTAATGTGGTTTCCACAGCCAGACTCACTGGATCCCAGCAGGTATGAAATCAGCACATCTGTCACTATATCGAACAGCATCAGAACCAAATGCACTTGAAGGGACAGAACATCAAAAATATGTTTTTTCATTTAACCTGATAGATCTCATGTACAAGGGTGACATGGCCAAGAGCCTGCAACACACAACTTATGAAAAAAAATAAAATAATAATAATTATAATAATAAATGGGCAGCACGGTGGGGCAGTGTGTAGCACTGTGGGTAGAACAAAAATAAATGTATAATTTGAAAAGTTTTATTAAAAATAAATGAAGAAAACATTTAGAAATACAGACATAAAATTAAAATCAAATTAAATTAAAAAATGTAATAAATTAAATTAGAATATGTAATGAATTTTTTTAAAATAAAATAAAATAAAATAAAATAAAATAAAATTAAATTAAATTAAATTAAATTAAATTAAATTAAATTAAATTAAATTAAATTAAATTAAATTAAATTAAATTAAATTAAATTAAGCAGCACAGTGGCGCAGTGGGGAGCACAATTGCCTCACAGCAATAAGGTCGCTCATTTAAGTCCCGGCTGGGTCAGTTGGCGTTTCTGTCGGAAGTTTGCATGTTCTCCCTGTGCTGGCATGGGTTTCCTCTGGGTGCTTTGGTTTCATCCACAAGACCAAAAAAACAAAAAACAAAACATGTGGTATAGGTGATTTGGGTGTAGGCTAATTTGTCCGTAGTGTATGTGTGTGTGAATGAGTGTGTATGAGAGATCTGCTGCGTAAAACATATGCTTGATAAGTGGGCGGTTCATTCCGCTGTGGCAACCCCTGATTAATAAAGTGACTAAGCCGAAAAGAAAATGAAGGAACATATGAATAATAATAAATAAAAAATTAAGATAATATAAAAATACAGTTTAGTTGTTCAGCTATACCACATTACAATACATTAATAACACATACATTAAGAAATGGATCGTTGTTGTTTGTTAAAAAGGATAGAGCGAAAGATTTGATTGGGATGAGCTCAGATATTTTCAGTTCAGACTGAAGAGTATTCCAGGATGACGGTGCGGCATGACTAAGGCTCACCTCCCTATTTCAGTTCGACCCTGGGAACAGTCAAATGATAAGATTCACTTGAACCTAGAGCATGCGGGCTGTTTGACTTATGAAGAAGGGAACTTAGGTATAAAATGAAGATTTGCTTAATTTACTCACCCTCAGTTTACCTGTGATGTAGGTGAACCTTTCTTTCTTTAGGAGAACTTTAAAGAAGACTTTTAAACTGCGTTTTTACTGCACATCTATTTTTTTGCTGTGTGTTTAAAAAGCAAACAAATCAGATTTTAATTTGATATAATTATTCCTTTAAGATCTCAATTATTTAAAATTCATTATATCCTTATATTAAACATGAGTCGTATTCATCTCAGAGCAGAACATGACAACATCTCAGGGTAGTGATAAATATTGTATAAAATTATTCACCCTCCTGTTAATTTTGTATTCTTTTCTAAATATTTCCCAAATGATGTTGACCAGAGCAAGGAAATTTTTCACAGTATTACCTATAATATTTTTTCTTCTGGAGAAAGTCTTATTTGTTTTATTTCGGCTAGAACAAAAGCAGTTTTACATTTTTATAAACAAATTTTAAGGTCAAAATTATTAGTTCCTTAAAAACATTGTTTTCGATAGTCTACAGAACAAACCATCATAATACAATGACTTCCCTAATTATCCTGACTTTAACCTAATTAACCTTATTAGGCCTTTAAATGCCACTTTAAGCTGTCTAATATTATTTATTGTCATCATGGCAAATATAAAGTAAATCAGTTATTAGAAATGAGTTATTAAACCTATCATGTTTAGAAATGTGTTAAAAAATATCTCTGTTAAACAACTTTTTAAAATAATTTGGACATAACTGGACATGCTAAGTTTGTAAAATGTTTCATGCTTGTGTTCTCTCAGACTGTAATTGAAAACTCTTTCAGTAATACAGGCAGTCCTGCTGGAGACGAGAGCAGGGAAGAGGCACGATGTGGATATTTCCCAGCATCCTCTGTGAGCGAGGGATCGGCCAGCATCGTGTCCTTGCAGACAGCAGCAGATCACACATTCCCACAAACAGCAGGTCTGTACGGATTTGAGTTCTAGTCTACAGTTGAAGTCAGAATTATTAGCCCCCTAAATTATGAGCCCCCCTGTTTATTTTTTGTCCCCTTTTTCTGTTTAACAGAGATTTTTTTCAACCCATTTCTGATCATAATAGTTTTAATAACTCATCTCTAATAACTGATTTATTTTATCTTTGCCATGATGACAGTAAATAATATTTGACTAGAATTTTTTCAAGAAACTTTTATACAGCTTACAGTGACATGTAAAGGCTTAACTAGGTTAACTAGGGTAACTAGGCAGGTTAGGGTAATTAGGGAAGTCATTGTATAATGATGGTTTGTTCTGTAGACTATCAGGGAAATATATAGCTTAAAGGGGCTAATAATTTTGTCCTTAAAATGATGTTAAAAAAATTAATAACTGCTTTTATTCTAGCCGAAATAAAACAAATAAGACTTTCTCCAGAAGAAAAAATATTAACTGACATACTGTGAAAACCTCAGACTTCCCGAGGCGTTCTCAGGCCAGCCGAGAGACATAGTCCCTTCCAGGATGTCTTGTGTCTTCCCCGAGGCCTCCTCTCGGTGGGACATGCCTGGAACACCTCCCTAGGTAGGCGTCCAGGAGGCATCTGAAACAGATGCCCGAACCACCTCAGCTAACTTCTCTTGATGTGGAGGAGCTGCGGCTATATTCCAATCTCCTCCTGGGTGTCAGAGCTCCTCACCCTATCTGTAACCTATATAACTTGTATCTGTATCCTAGATCTTGTCCTTTCGGTCATGACCCAAAGCTCATGAGCATATAGGTGAGAGTAGGAATGTAGATTAATTGGTAAATCGAAAGCTTTGCTTTTCGGCTCAGCTCCTTCTTCAACACAATGGACCGATACATCAACAGCATTACTGCTGCCGCTGCACCACTCCGCCTGACAATCTCATGCTCCATCCTTCCCTCACTCGTAAACAAAGTTCCAAGATACTGAAGATCTATGTTTGGTGAATCCATAATTTAATTAAATTAATTTAATTTAAATTAATTTAATTTCATATTTTAATTTAATTTAATTACATAATTTAATTTAATTTAATTTAATTTAATTTAATTTAATTTAATTTAATTTAATTTAATTTAATTTTATTTTATTTATCTCTGGATTAATTTTTTTTTTCATTTCATATTTTAATTTAATTTAATTACATTTTTTAATTTAATTTAATTTAATTTAATTTAATTTAATTTTATTTAATTTTGTTTTATTTTATTTTTTTTATGAAAACTATACAGTGCTATTTTACATTTGTGTATTTCTTAGGGCCATAGTACTCCAAAATTAAATAAATAAATAAATTAATAAATAAATAAATGTTGAAATAGTTAAATCATTAAATACATGATTCACTTATTAAAATAATTACATAAATATTTGTATAATATTTGTTTTTATGTATAAAATATTACAATTATTTAATATATAAATTTTGTATTGATATATATATATATATATATATATATATATATATATATATATATATATATATATATATATATATATATATATTCATTTTTAATTAGTTTATTATTATATATAACTAAATATCTATATCAATAAATTATTTTACATATAACAAAAATATTTTTAATATTTTTTCTTTATTTATTAATTATTTTAATAATTCAGTCACCTATTTAATTATTTATCCTATTTTAACATTTATTTATTTCATTTTGGATAATTTTGCCCTCCTGAGAATACTGCTGAATCAAAAAGCCCTGTTTATTTCATATCAAGTGAGTTTAAGCAAGGCACAATAATATATAAAATAAAATAAAATAAAATAAAATAAAATAAAATAAAATAAAATAAAATAAAATAAAATAAAATTAAATTAAATTAAATTAAATTAAATTAAATTAAATTAAATTAAATTAAGGCTGTATGATGGCTCAGTGGTTAGCACTCTCGCCTCACAGCAAGAAGATCGATGGTTCAAGTACCAGTTGGGCCATTTGGCATTTCTGTCTAGAGTTTGCATGTTCTCTCCGTGTTGGTGCGGGTTTCCTCTGGGTGCTCCTCCACAGTCTAAACACATGCGTTATAAGGGAATTAAATAAACTAAATTGGCCATAGTGTATGAATGCATGTGTGAATGTTAGAGTGTATAGGTGTTTCCCAGTACTGGATTGCAGCTGGAAGGGCATCCGCTGCGTAAAACATATACTGGAATAGTTGCTGGTTCATTCCGCTGTGGCTAATAATTATATTAAACAAACGATATGACGTGAATTGTTGATGTATATGC